TAGTGAATTATATCAAAAAACTACACTAATGCACTACTGTATGACCCATTAGAATAAATGTTTTAATGTATATTTTTTAAATATTACACTGTTGCATTAAAGTAATCTTTGCTTTTACTTTAATACACTATCGTTTTTTGTCATTTTACAGTTTTAATATTGTATTTACATTAAAATACACTAGTGCATCGAAAAAAACGTAATTTTTACAATAAGAAAATATACATTTTATCAATTGAAAATTTACATTTTTCGAGTTATTACACTAATGTTCTGATGGTATGATATATCCAATACAATTAAAACGGGAAATGTTAAGTGACTTTAATTCTTTATGCGATTTGGAATTTTTTTTTGCCACGTGACCTGTATGCCATACACACGCTTAATTATGCTTTACTTTTGACTTTGTTATATGGTTGAAAAATGATGAATAATACGAATTAAAATAACAAGATTAATTGAATCAAGAATAAAATATATAACGACAACTAATAGCTTCAAAAGGATAAACGAACTCAATGAACACCGAAAGCTCAAAATTCTACAGATTATCAGTGTATTACGTGGAAATATGTGCTTTATGTATAAAAAAACAACTCCATAACCATAAAAGAATATGAATAATGTGAATAATGTTGGCCGTTTATATTTCGGTAACTCTAGCCGAAATTATAAGAGAAGTTCAAAGTACACAATTATAGAAATCTATCGTTATACCCATCTGGGTTATTGGCATTTTTGGTTATGAAGTGTATGTTTAAAGGATAAGGGTTGTGTTATGGTATTTTGGACGTGTTAAATATATTTTATGAGTATGCCCTAGATTGAGATGGTTGAGTTAACTTTTGTTTTGTTAAATTCTCAAATATTATATTAAACGATTATACATTACGGGAAAATTGAAAAATAACTTGGAAATATTATTAATTGTTTTCCCACTGGAGAATTTATATTTACTACGATAAAATAATTAATATTGTTTTTAATTGCTTAAAAATTAAATGATCAAGGTAGAGAAAATCTACAGCATTTTTGATTTATTTGTGTTCTTATTTACATTGTAATTAAATTCTACAAACAATATAAATTTTATGATGAACATGAATAACATTTAGGGATAACAATGAGAACAAATATAAGAAACAGTTTTCTAATAGTACCGATAAAGTATGTTTGTCACATAGATTATTTTATAGCAGTTTGTGAACCATACTCTAACATTGACATGTATTATTTTTAAATTTTCCTAATATCATTAAGATGTTTAAATATTATTTATAAATAACTTATAATTAGAAATATATCACAATACATTTTAAGCTCTCACCTTGTTTATTTGCATCACACGAAAGCTGCAGTCCATGGTATAAATTGTTTAGAAAGAAATACATAATATCTTTATCATGCCTATTCCATATTAAACATATTAAACATAAGCTTTAATCAATAATTTGAAGAATCAACCAAATTGGACTATAATTTGAATCAAACATTATTATTAGTATTATTATTATCATTATTATAGATAGAGACATGTCAAATCATATCTGGGGTGGTTTGCAAGAAGTGTGAAGATATGGGAAAATCATGGGCACCGCGAAAGGGGTGCAAGGTGGTACATTTGCACCACCTGGATTTTTTTAAAAAAAGAGTACAATTTAAAAATGTAAGATAGAGAATATCACTATCTAATTTTCTTATAGCCTGAATTACTTTGAAGTCGTTGAAAAAACGACAGGAATTTTTTATTGTCATACAATTTAAAAAAAATATTTATATGAATTTAAATTAAATAATTTAAGCATTGTTTAAATATCAACATATATTCTATGCATGATGCACCCCCTCTGACTGAGTTCCTGGCAGTGCCTATGGTACCAATCATCGATTGCTACAATTGTAAGATTTTAGGTTAACCTTAGGTTAAGAAAAGTATTATATATTATATATGTATTATATATAAAGTATTATATATGCATGCATATTTTTAAAACTTAAATTACAATTTATATTTTTTATCATACTATATGAGGATACAGGTAAAAATAAATTTCTTAGTAAATCAAAAATTTCAAACGTTGTAATCATAAACTTTTAAAGACGTCTTTTAAGAATTAATAGGTATAGTACACTATACCAGATATGAGGTTGTTAAAGATTAGCTAAACGTCATCCATCTATTATATCAGCTACCCACTCCGTGAATAAACACCATAATACAAAATGTAAGAAAAATAATTACCTTGGAGAGCTTTTGAAAATTCATTGAATAATAATATAGCACTGATTCATTCTTTTTTTTCTCACTTTCAAGCAATGCTATGTGTTCAAGGGAGAATTTTCCACCAAATAACTGTACTGGGTACAAAAGAAAGTAGATATTATAAACGGCAACCCAGATATTCATTTGAGGCTGTTCCACAAACCTCTTTCATGCCAACGTGGAACTAATTATGCTCGTTCAAATGTATTATGCATACATACATTCACTATGTTTCGTGTGTTTTGTACTATAATAGCTATTGAAGGGATTTTTCGAACGATTTGAAGTTATTGTTTTTTCTACAATTGTGTTAATGGGTTGCCTAAAAAAAATAAATGTAATATAAGCTATCAAATATTTTAATAATATTCCATAGATAGAGGTGAGTATTATACATTTTTTAACTGTGTTATTTTGAGATCCTTACTTATTAAATTTATATATTTTGTATTTTTTCTATAAGTATTTAATAATAATACACAATAAAAAAATTCAAGAAAAAAAAATTTATCATAAAGACTGAGTCGATTATTTTTAGCACCTAATGGAATTAAATAATATGTACTCGTATATTATATAGATAATTTGGTTATAATATATCAAATACCAAAATAAATTTCAAATTTTATCTTATAAATTAATATTATATCTACAAACTTTAATAAACACTTATTTTTATTAAAACATAATATAATATTTTACTCAGTTTTGGTTGTAATTAATATGTAATATTAATTGCTGTTTTTAGAATTTTAAGTAAAGTACTTCAAGATTTACATTTCAAGACAAAAAAAAAAAAAATTAATAAAAGAAAAATATAAATTTTCTTTAGTTTTATTTTGCATTTACAAAATCTACTAAGAAAATCTAAAAATGGCCTCTAAAGTACAATTTGTATTTTGTTTTCTATGTAAAATGCTTTATAAAACTTTAGAGTGCAGATTTACAACTGATATAAACTTAGTTAAAAATCATTAATGTAAGACTAATACATTCTACTCTGATTAAATATTTTAAAAAAAAGTTAAAAAAAAAATTGTTCACAAATGAGTATATTTGTAATTTTATCACGAAAGTGTAACAACTTTATTTTATGGAACTTATATGTAAATTTTTTATTTATTAAAAAATCTATGCGGGGACAAATTATATTATAGAATTAAAGTTGAATAACGGCGTACTGTGCGTTAGTAGGTGGACATATTTCTATTGGCTATTAAAATATTTATTTCAACTGTGAAATTTTCGTTGTTAGAATTAATATTGGTAAGACTATAATTAATTTGATTATTTTGTAAACAACAGTAGTTATATATACAGTAATATGTATATACTATGCATTAATACTATTATTATAAACATAATATTTCTTAAACATATCGTCCCTATAATTCATCGATTTTTTCCAAATTTATTATTATAATTTAATTATCGTAGCTCTTTTAAGATATGAAAATTATGCATATATATAATAATTATTAATATGAAATCTGAGAGATTCAGTAGTAACAGCCTTCTTATTTTTGAACTTTTAATTATATTTATTTTTAAATTAATTTTTATATTTCACGGGTGAAAGCCGAGGAAAATGACGAAATTACTATTATTTGAAACCAGAACATAATTTATTGAGATTCACCCGGTTATGTCAAAATACAGCCAGTGGTAATTGAACAAATGTACAAATGTTAATAATTCATAGACCGAGCAAATTATAAGATAATATGTCTTTAAAAATGTAATTATAGGATTATTTAGTTATTAATTGTAGTATAACATTTTCACACTTTCCTCGATAGTACGGAGCAGTCTAGTCATGATAATTGGACTAAAAAAAGTAAAATAAAAATAAAATAATAAATATAAAGTTGTTTAAACTGGGTACAACATTTAAAAATAATATATTAACAATATAAGTTAAAGTTAAAAAATTTTACTAAGTAGCCTATTTCTAAGTTCTTACATAAATTAATTGAACATTTATTTAGTGTTATTCAGTTTTTGAAATATAAAATAAAATAATATTAAATTATACATCACTCGATAGAAAAAAAAAAGATAAAATGCAACGTTATAATTTTCAATTATAAAACGTAATTGCAGTAATTTTACATTAAAAATTTAGTGTATTTTAAATGATATTTCTACTAAAATATAATATACTATATTGTACAGTTTTAAATTTTAAAACAATTAATCATGAAATAAATTTTTTAAATAAATTATACTGCAACATTTTATTTTAGATTATTACGAATCATATTATTTTTTAAAGTTTAAATAAATAGTTTATAAAGTATTTATAAACTACTTTTTGAAATGTCAGTGGAACATCAAAACGATGAGGATTTTCTCTTGTATTTCATTTGGTTTTTAGAATGAAAGTTAAGGGATGGGGAAAATGTATACGGCTTTAAGTTACATATAACAGTACAAAGCTGTTTTTTTAGATACCTAAAAGCAAGAGGTAGGATAAAGTTGAGTTATCGACAAAAAATTACGTCAGGATTTTTCATAAATAAAAAAGTACATCGGTTACCCATAAAACAAAACTAGAAATGCAAACCGCATTTAAAACGAACACTTATGGAAATATTTGACTTTTATATTTGACTATTTTATTTGTGTGAAAAGCAATCTGAAATATTGTTATTGGGTCGCATTTTTGCTTAAAGCCATTAAAACAAACGTGATTTATCGGAGATATAAAATTCGTTTTTTTATTTTTTTCCAGATATATCTTCTTGGCCATTTACACGGCCGAAATGGTTATTAAAACCATATCTAAAGGATTTATACTAAATAAGTATACTTACTTACGAAATCCATGGAACTGGCTTGATTTCATCGTCATCACTTCAGGCTACGCCACAATTGGTATGGATGTCGGGAATTTAGCCGGGTTGCGTACCTTTCGTGTACTCAGAGCTTTAAAAACCGTATCTATAATGCCAGGTAAATTTTTTTTGTTTTTAAGAAATTATCGTAGTGGATTAAATAAGATATTTTAAGCATGTACGTAATACGAAAAACTATGAATGTTTGTAGGCAAAATGTGTTTAAAAAATATATATATAAATGTTTTTATTCTTTGTGGAATTCAATTCCAACGCATTGAATATATTAAAATATATCCCATTCCTTAAATCACTACTAAAAGCTCTAGTATGATGGTAAACAAATTATGAAGTTTATTTTAGTCCAAAACATTATTTTATTGCAAAATATTTAATTGTATTAATATGTCTACTCAAATACAGAAAAAAATACTATTGTTTCATATATGTATAGTTATTTAAAAACGTCAAACAAACGAGTACTTAAAAAAATGTCCATTTAGATGAAGTATATACGTAAATTCCAAAATAAGTAAACTTTTATAATATTTGTTTTAAAATTAGTTTTTTTCTTTAAAGATTCTATCGACGGAAGAACTTCAAAACGCTCCATATTGAAGTTTTTTTTCCAATAAGCACATTGGTATAGTAAAATATTTTAAAAAGTTTCATATAGCCTCTCTATAGATTGGAAATTGGAAACGAATGGTACTATAGAGAGATTATATTTTCAAATATATTATAATTTAAAGAAAATTGTAAAATAGTTATCCTAAAGTGAAATTGCAAATCTACAAAACAATTTTAACAGATATAAAAAAGTTATAAATATGTTTCTAAAAATGTGTTTCACTTATTTTTCCGGCAATTCTATGAATCTATTTTGAAAATTATTATAAATTATTTTATATAATAAAATATAAGAGCTTTGTGGTAGCATTTTTTTTTATAATTATTATTGATTGAACGATCAATAATAAAGAGTGTAATTTATATTTTTATGATACAGAAAGTTAAATTTTTAAAATAATTATAGAGGACTCGCATTATTTTTAAAACGCTCGTAATAACTATTATTTTTAATATTATCTTCCTCTCATCAACAAAGAACAACAATTATATTTTATGTCATTAAATTAAATTAATATTCACCTATAACTATCCCTAGTATAATTAGCTTATCTTTGTTCCAATTATTTTATAGCATTTCGGCCTTTGAGCTTAATAGGTTTATCTATATTTTTGTGTATTTTGTTTTAATACATTTAATATAAAATATTTTAAGACTATTTTTATACCAAGACAATAGAGTAATAGTAAGTATATATTATGACTTATTCGTAAAATATACTATTATTTTTTGATCAAAGGATTGAAAAATAATACACGTCTAGAATGTTTATAATTATAAAAATTATATACATAAAAAAAATATTAAACACAATTAACTACTTGACAACAAATTGTTAGTAATTGTTATTATATTATCGTTAAAATCGTTGATATATCTCTATATATACGTATGGTATATTTGTTTATCTTCATTGGGTTTATTTTTTTAATCCCTTAGTTTGGTTAAATGATTGATGTATGTCCCTTTTGCTTATAATTCAATTAATATCTATATAAATCTTTATTAAAATGTCTTATATTGTCTTACATTGTGTCATGAACGGTAGGGTTTCCTCCCGTTTTTAATTTTTCGGAACTGTTCTTTTTTTATTCAATTCATCCTACGTCCTGGCTTAATAAGCACCTGGACGCAATATTTCCCGTATTTGATTATTTTTTAAAAAAATTTATAATTTATAGGACCATGCATTTTTGTACCGCATATATACAAGTGACAATCAAACATTTTTGCCAAATCAATTGTTATACTTTATTTATAAATTATTTATCACTGATGCGAAGCACATTATATTGAATTGTATGTATTAACTGATTAAGCATACTTACAATGGTTGGGGGCTATACACAATAGTTTTCATCGCGTTTCATACGTCGTGTTTTCCGTATTCACTAAAATACATTGCTTGGCTATAATCATGGCGATTGTTATCCGTCGCGTTTTTATCCGCGATTTTTGTGGACTAACGCCGAAAAAATTAAAAAATTGAACTTCTAATTTTACATTGTTTTAAATTATTGGATAAGTTAATTATTGGAGTTAGAAAACGCTGCGTTTTTACTATAATTTTACGTTTATATTAAATATTGCACTTATTTAATTTAATTACCTATACAATATAAATTAATATTTCAATTCTATATATTAGGTATATTTATATAATATTCAGTTATCAATATTATTACAATACCTACTAGTTAGACCTTAGTACTTACTACCTTTCTTTCAATTAACTCCGGTGTAGCTGTTATGATAAATTTGGTATCTAATACTTCAATAAATGATACTTAAGAAATTATTTTGTATAATTTTCAATTTTCAAATTCAATAAATCACAAATCATATTACAATTCACATACAATTAATGTTATCATTAATAGATAAGTTAAATGTAATGGAATAATTTTAAAATAGTTCTTTAACAAATTAATGTATATTTATTAATAATTTGTGATATTCGAATGCGATGAATATAAATAAATTGTCTTCGGCATATTAATTAATCAAATTTAATATTGTCAAAAAAAATATGGCTTCAGTATTTTTGATACTGCTAGGTAGTAACCCTGATAAACGGTGTTCTTTGTCTTTTTCTAAATGTCTATCCATTTATTTTTTCTTAATTTATATTTCTCGATCTTCAACCATAGTCGATATTCAGATATAATTTCTTATAACACTTTTATTCCAGTTTTCTCTCTTATCTCCGAAATAGGTTCTTCAGTACACATGTCATCTGTATTGAGCTACTTTAAACATCTTTATTCTTTATTCTTTCTGTCAGTGGAATTCTCAATACTAGTATTTATCACTATATCCTTATATATTTTAGTAACATAATATTCTTGTTGTAATCTTGTTTAGTCTCACAAAAAACTTTCATCACCTCTATATTTTTAATAATTTATAAATACTGATATTAAAAATTATAAATACAAAATATAAATTAACATAATCCATACTATTATTTTCTTGTAAAAATATTATCCATAAACCTATATTTACTTGGGTTCATATTCTAAAATTGAACAACTTGTTAAATATAATTAAACATAATTAAATTGCTAGATATGTGTACTCAATCTATAGTAATTTAAAATTAATTTAATCATGATTTAACCCTGTAACGTCAAAAACATCATGATCCAAAATTCATAATAAAATTACAAATTTAATATTAATCTAAATTCTATACACAAGAATTTGTCCCCAAATCCAAATTTTAAAAGTCACATATACCCACGACATATACATTATAAAGAAAAAGATTAATTCAACAAATAATTACTCATTTTGACGAGTATCACATCGTAGGTTACACCGATTTTGGGGTTTCAGGCAATTTGGTCAAGAAATACGTTATGAATAATGTAATCGGTATAACCGGATCTAAAGTTAAATTATTCCAAGAGTATAGTTTAATTATATTAATCCTGTAGAATTAAAAGAAACTGGAAGATTTAAAAAAAAACTATATTTTTAATAATCATACTAACTTTTAGGTGTATAATAAAAAATAATGACAAAAAAATGTTGTAACATTTATGTTTATGTTTCACTTAAATGTTTTATTACTTTATAAATAATACTAAGTTAAAACAATGATAAAAGTAAAATATGGTTCCATATAAATAATGGTTGAATAGTATGGACCCGTCGGTCTCATTCGATTTATTTCTATTTTTTTTTTTTTTTTAATATAATAATAAACGACACTGATTTCAAGAATGAGTATTTTTCATTCCTTTATTTTGACACTTTTGTAATGGATTACCAATAGTATTCTAACTGCTAAAACAAAAAATAAAAACGATAAATAATAATATGTCATACAGTTGAAAGTGCATTAGTTTTACAACACATAAATTATTAGTAAGAAATAAGAGTTTAAATATTAAATTCATTAAAAGACAAAAAAAATTATCAGAAAAAATAATTTTTTTATCTTTAACGTATATAATAACTTTAAGATTCTTAAATCTTAATTAAAAAAAGAAAAAAATGAATAAAATAAACATTATTTCTTTAATCTTTGTAACTATTTTGGATAAACCTTAATACTATTAAATTCGAATGGTCATCTTCAGAAAATTCAAAAATCTATTTGTATTGAAATATATATATATTAACCATTACGATGGGATAGTAAGATTTATTATTTTGTAATATTATTTTCAATTCACCAATAGACTCCTTAGTTCAAGAAAAAAAATATTTAAGTATTTGCTTTACTTAAAATTTAGTAAATAATAAAATAGTTTACTTAGAATTTTCGAAGGTAGTTTTGGTGTAAACCTAAAAATTTTAATCTACCATATTCTAATTCTATAGGTTACTTGTCTTTCTTTATTACATGTATGTCACCAACAAAATTAAAAAAATTTTGAATCTTTAAACAAAATTTTTATGAACTGCATATTAAATTTAAATGTTGATTTTTATCATTTTATCATAACTTATTGTAATATTTTTAATCCATTTTAAATAAATTAAAAATTTGGTTTTTGTATACATACGAGTATATGTTTATAAGAAATACCTAAATTTATAGATTTCTGTTAAATATAATTTATTTTGCAGTTTTAATTCCTTTTAGGTATCGAATGTATAATATTAAATGAAATTATTCAATAATTTTAGAATTCAAATAAGTATGATAGTTAATACTTTTTAATAAAATTATTTTAAAAACTTAAATGCGTTGTAAATATAAATATAATTTAATTTATGTATTTAATTTTAGTCTTCACTGATTTATTTAAAATGTATGAAATTACTTAAACATTTTCATACATTTTTATTGATTTATTTTTCCTTCCGTTCAAATATCATTACAATGAAAACAAATAAATTAAAAAAATTGTTAATACTCCAAAACACTAAATTCTACGATAGCTACTAGTTCCGCTGACCGTCTCCATCCCTTAAAAACTTTTTGGCTTTATCATTACCGGTGTATAACTTTAAACAAGGAAAACTTTCGTGTG